ACTGTATTATATGTCTTTTTATTTGAAGAATATTTCTATTTGCTACATCATACCCACGGAACTAATAATTTAAAGACTTACAAGACTTACATTGTAGGTCTTATTTTTTTAAAGCTGTTATCTCATGCACTAGTTGGTCATAACTTGAGGGCTCATACTCAATTATAACGTATAGGTACTTTACTGAATACCTTACAGGGTCTTGCACCTTGTAAATTTCAATAATGAAGATAAATCCTGAGTAATGACTTTCAAATGGAATTTGCTTTTCTGATTCAAAGCAAAAAAGACACTGAAAGAAAACAGAAAGGTCAATCAGCCACCAATTTGTTTGGTACCTCTCACATTCTCCACACTGGATGTTCAAAGTTTTCATTTTCAGGATCTGATGCACAGTGTGAATGCCTTCCTCATGTGTAAAGCTCTTGGGCTGAACTTTTCCATGTGACAACTTTGTTCAATTGATTGAATATGGAGAATTAGTAAAAGGAATTTATTAAATTATTATCATTTGAGACAGTCTCACTCTGTCACCTAGGCTGTAGTGCAGTGCGATGTTGGCTCACTGCAACCTTCACCCACCCAGGTTCAAACGATCCTCCCACCTCAGGCTCCCCAGTACCTGAGACCAGAGGCATGCATCACCATGCCTGGCTAACTTTTGTATTTTTGATAGAGAGGGGTTTTTGCCATGTTGCCTAAGCTGGTCTTGAAATCCAGGGTTCGAGTGATCTGCCTGCCTCAGTCTCCTGAAGTGCTGAAATCTCAGGCATGAGCCACTATGGCTGGCCAAAAATTTACTTTGAAAGTCTTTTTAGGCCAGACTTGTTAGCTGGGCGTGGTGTCCCGCGTCCATAGTCCTAGTTACTTGGGAGGCTGAGGTGGGAGGATTGCTTGAGGCTAGGGGGTAGAAGTTGCTGTGAGCTGAGATCACGCCACTGCACTCCTGCCTGGGAAACAAAGCCAGACTCTCTAAAGCATACCCCAAGACAAGGGATGTGCCTTACTGAGTATGTGACTTACTGAGAAAATGATCCTCTGGATGGGGAAGGAAAAGTAACAAAGCAAAGATGTGGTCTCACATAAAGTCTAGCCTTGGCCTGACCCATGAGACAGGGGCTCTGGAATATAAATTGCATAGCAGAGTGGTCACTGAGTCAAGGGACTTGACTTTTATACTCCTTCCCCCCATCCGTCAGTTATCAGCTGCTGGGAATGGAATGGTGGTGTAATCTACTAGATGTCTCCAAACAGCCAAGGGCAATTCATGGGAGAACTTCACAGAGTTACACCATTGTGGGGATGGGTGTGTAACTTCCCAAGGGGTCCTTCCTGTCCACTGCACCCAGAAAGATCACAACATTGCAGTAAAGAAAGAGTTTAATAGACACAAGCTCAGCCACACCACATGGGAGATGGCATTAGTACTCAAATCATCTCCCTGAAGGCATGGAGGTTATGGGCTTTTCAAAGACAGTTTGGTGGGCAGGGGACCAGGGTAGGGGGCAAGCTGATTGGTTGGGTTGGAGATGAAATCATAGGGAATTGAGGCTGTCCTCTCATGCTGAGTCAATTCCTGGGTGGAGGCCACAGGAGGGGTTGGCGGGTCCAGGTGAGGACATGTGGTTGTCAGAAATGCAAAAACCTGAAAAGACATCACCATGTTGTAGGTTGTACAATAGTGATGTTATCTGCCAGAGTAATTGGGGAAGTTGCAAATCATATTACTTCCAGAATAATGGCTGGTAAGTATTTAGAATTCAGACCTTCTTATCCTCTAACTTGGTGGCCTTTTATTAGTTTTATAAGAACAGTTTAGTCTTTGGGAAGGGGCATTACCATTTAAATTATAAACTAAATTTCTCCAAAAATTAGTTTGGCCCATGCCCAGGAATGAGCAAAGACAACCAACCAGTGAGGCTGGAAACAAGATGAAGTCAGCATGCCAGATTTCTCTTACTGTCATAATTTTGCAATGGCTGTTTCAGGTGTAGTGGCCTGTAAAAAACAAACTAGGAAGAAGAAAAAGAATTGAGAGGGTTTCCAAGATTCTGTGCTAGTGTAAAACAACCAGGTAAGTGGAATACTCTACATTTGTAATTTTAAGCTGAGGTGTGACTGTCCCAGATGTCGTCTGTTATTTAGGAAAAATAATGGATTTCATTTACTTGCTAGTATAAATCACTAATTTTGTTTTAATGTTTTGCATTAGTTTCCTAGGGATGTCATAACAAATTACCACAAACTGGGTGGCTTAAAGTGATAGAAAGTTACTTTCTCACAGTTCTGGAAGCCAGAAGTCTAAAATTAAGGTGTGGACAGGGTCATGCTCCTTTAAAAGCTCTTGGGAAGAACCCTTCCTTGCCTCTTTCAACTGTGATGATTGCCAGAGATCCTTGGTGTTCCTGTAACCACCTAACATGTTCTCCTTGCCTGCTGCCTAGACAGAGCCAACTTATCAAGACAGGGGAATTGCAATAGAGAAAGAGTTTAATTCATGCAGAGGTGGCTGTACAGAAGACTGGAGTTTTATTATCCCTTAAATCAGTCTCCCCAAAACATGGGGATTGGGGTTTTTAAGGATAATTTGGTGGGTAGCGTTCAGTGAGTTGGGAGTGCTGATTGGTTGAGTCAGAGATGAACGCATAGTGAGTTGAAGCTGTCTTCTTGTGCTGAGTCAGTTCCTAGGTGGGGACCACGAGATCAGATGAGCCAGTTTATTGACCTGGGTGGTATGGCTGATCCACTGAGTGTAGCATCTGTTAGGTTTTACAATAGAATAGTGATATTATCACTAGTAGCAATTTGGGGAGTGTCAGAATCTTGTAACCTCCAGCCGCATGACTTCTAAACCATAATTTCTAATCTTGTGGCTAATTTGTTAGTCCTACAAAAGCAGTCTAGTCCCTAGGCAGGAAGGGGGTTTGTTTTGGGAAAGGGCTGTTATCATCCTTGTTTCAAAGTTAAACTATAAACTAAGTTCTTCCCAAAGTTACTTCAGCGTACGCCCAGGAATGAACAAGGACAGCCTGGAGGTTAGAAGCAAGATGGAGTCAGTTAGGTCAGATCTTTTTTACTGTAATAATTTTCTCAGTTATAATTTTGCAATGGCAGTGTCATTCCTTGGCTTGTGGCTAGTAACTGCAATCTCTGCCTCCATCTTCACAGGGCCGTCTTCCCAGTGTGTCTGTGTCTCTGTGTCCAAACCTCCCTCTCTTTCTTCGAATAAAGATCCAAGTCACTGGATTATGCCCCACCCTAATCCAGAATGACCTCATCATAACTTGATTACTTCTGCAAAGACCCTAGAAAGGCCATTTATTAGAGAAAGTATAAAAATAGATTGCAAGAACGCAGTGGCCAAATCAGCATGAGAGAAGCTGACTGCAAAGAAACAAAGGCTTGCTGGAGATTTTATAGAATAGTGTTTATGCTGTAAACTGAAAAGGGCTTTGTGCAGTACTGATAATGCCAAAGTTGAAATGAGCTACCTTGCAGGTGTGTGGTGATGGTTGAGCACAGGAAGATTGTGAATTGTTTGTACAAGAGGGCTATGTGTCCTGGACCATGAAGAAAGGCAGACTTATAGCTTATCTGCTTTCTGTTCTTGCTTTCCCTTGGTCCTGCCAGCTTGACTCCTTTTCCCTAATTAGGACTCCACAGTTAACTTGGTCCATGCCCAGAAATGAGCAAAGGCAGCCAGCCTGTGAGGCTAGAAGCAAGATGGAGTCAGCCACAGCCATCTCAGATTTCTCTCACTGCCATAGTTTTGCAAAGGCAGTTTCAGAGTAAAAGGATTAAACACTTGGCCCTAATTGTTCAATAAATAAGAAAAATGATAAAAAAAAAAAAAAGCAGCAATATAGTGAAATTTATTGCTTGTTTAGGTGCCAAATAGCCTTCTAAACTATGTTGTGTGTACTTACTCAACAAGCCCTCCCATCAACCATATTAGGTAGGCTTATTACTATTTCAGTTCCACATGTGAGGAAAGTGATGCTCATGGAGCTAGAGCAATTTGCTAAAGCTCCCTTAGGCATCAAGTGGAGCAGCTGAGGTTTGAATACGGGCAATGTGACCTAATTCAACAAGGTCCCAATCAAAATGTACAGCAGTGAGGTCCAGACATAAGGGACCATTTTCCAATTATTTTACCTTGCTACTTACGATACTTAGAGTAACATAGTAGCCACATTGTAAAAATATTTCTCATTAAAAAGTAAAAAACAGGCCAAGCGCAATGGCTCACGCCTGTAATCCCAGCACTTTGGGAAGCCGAGGCAGGCGGATCACTTGAGGCAGGAACCGGAGACCAGCCTGGCCAACATGGTGAAACCCCGTCTCTAATAAAAATACAAAAATTAGCTGGGCATGGTGGCACACGCCTGTAATCCCAGCAACTCTGGAGGCTGAGGCATGAGAATATCTACCGCACTGGAGCCTGGGTGACAGAGTGAGACTCCATCTCAAAAAAAAAAAAGGCAAGCATGCCCCTGCAAATGTCCTAATTTTTGTTTGTATCTATTAATGGGTTCATTGCTCATTAATTTCTTATCTTATAGAGCTGGAGATTTTTAGAATCTAGAAAGATTTTATTTACCTGCAAGCCTACAACAGTTATCTACATGCTTTAAACTGTAACACGTTGTAAGTGCTCAAAAACATTTTACCACAGTTTAAAGCAAGACATATGAAATTGATAGAGGTGGGTCACATGCGTTATTCTTTGGCAGTGCTTTGCATTTTCGTTGTCTTCCTCCTAAGCATTTACTTTTTAAAAGTAAGGAATCTGAGCAGGATGTAGTTAAAGAACTTGGAATTTATCCAATTGTGTTCTACTGCTGTTTGACAATTTCTTTCCTCATCAAGAAAACAGTTTTCAGAAACAGCTGATTTTCTCGGGAAAAACATCAGGCCCCACTGGGAGTCGAACCCAGGATCTCCTGTTTACGAGACAGGCGCTTTAACCAGCTAAGCCATAGAGCCACGCGGAAGCGCCATTTAAAAGTGAATCTATCTCATTTTACTTTGACAAAATGAGTTTATTGAGTGTTAACTGCTGTCTTCAAAAAATACGCCAACTCGAGAGATGCTTCATTTCCTCAGTCTCTTTTGAAGACATACGAATACACGGGGAAACGTATTCGCCTGTTTATAGTGTCAAGGGATTTTTCTATTAATCCAAGAAAGAGCATTACAGAAAGCTATACAATACGTGAAGACCATTAAAAGGAATATATCTATACATAATTTTAAAAAACCTTCGAATCTTGAAAGTCACTCACTTAGGGTACGTGAAGCTGCCAAATTTGTCAGAGGAGGAACAGGCATCTCTCGCATGGAGCCGTGGGACTCGGCGTTAAGGCACTCTTCAGCTACAGGTGTCAGCCCGTTTAGCTCCTCTTCAGGTCTTGTGATGTCATTCTCAAGAGGAGAGTAAAGTTCTGTGTCGTGTGGGGCCTCTCAGGAAGGGTACGGAGGTGGGGGAGGGGCGGGGCGTCGGGACTCTCTGCAGCTTTGCCCTGAAGGAATTTGGTCGACACTTTAAGACTGACCAAGAAAAAGTCATTTGGCCCAGTTTTCTCCCACCCTTTGTTTACTTCTGCTCCTCCTGGGCTTGTTTTTTTTGTTGTTGTTGTTTTGTTTTGTTTTTCGTTTTTTTCTCTTTTCTTTTTCTTTTTTTTCCCCCCTCAGTTCTGAAAATCACCTCCCAGAGCAGATAACGCGTTCTCCTCTGTAACCCGTCCTTGCACTCCCCGCGGGGGTCCCGGTTCTCATCCCTCTGGGGACCTGCAAGGAGCCCCGCCCGCGGGGTTTGAACCGCTTGCTGCTCAGCGTCCAGGAGCAGGCCCCGCGTAGGGCCGGGGAGGGGCCTTCGGAATTCAGGTGCTTCTGCGGGGCCCAAAGCCCCCAGGGCAGGCGGGGACTGAGACGACTGAGGAGTGAGGGACAAGGAGGCTGGGACTGGGGAGGGGAGACCCGGGATCCGCCCAGAATGCTTTCGTGGGGTTGGAGAGGGCAGGACACAGCCTCTTCCGGCCCGGTAGGATCCGAAGACACGCATCAAATGCAAACGGATTCCCGTCCTGGACTTTGGGAATTAAGGCCCTGAACGCAGTCAGCAAAAAAGTAGATCTGTCTGTACAGACGTTTCTTTCCACGTCTCTCATAGTAAGGGCTTTATTAAAAAGCAGGGACTCGAATCCTAGGTGGGTAGATGGGAGGCTGGGACTGGGGAGGGGATGTCCTCTGTTTTCTGGTTGTGCACATTAAAAATAACTCTCTGCCACCTACTCCTAAACACAGCCAGCAAAAATGAGACGTCAACTAAGCGCTGTCTCAGCCCCAGAGCCAGGTCGGCCATGGGGTTTTTCAAGCGTTTTCTTAATGACTGATTTTTCTAGAAGCTAATGGATTTTATTCTCCCAGATGTAAAGGCTAAGGCTACCGCCTGCTTCACACCCGGATAACATAAAAGACAGCGATGGGACCGAAACTCGTGTCTCCTGGGTCCTGGTTGGCTGGAGAGAGGGGCAGTGAACTCCCCGAAAATAATTCTGTCTTTTCTCAGTATCTGGGAGGACTCATTACAGGGTAGATAATCAGGGTGGATGTTTGGCAAGTGGGAATCTTTGAGATCTGTGCACACAGTTTTAACTCTACTTTTGCCAGTTTGGAGGACATGAAATTCCCGATGAGTGTATGTTAAAAGGGAATACAGAAGGCAATATACACAACGTTCTAAAAGAATTGCTTTTCATGGAGGCAAAGTGGCTAAGCAGTCCAAAGCGCTGGATGAAGGCTCTAATCTCTTGGGGTATGGAGATTCTAGTCTGTTTAGCCACAGAAGTCATGAAACCACTATGTGGTATTTTTTAAATAATGAGTTTTGATACTTAAAATAGAATTATTGGAGTGAATTTTGTTTCTGTTGAATTCATTATTCTTACACACACCAGCCAGATTCTACTTATTAATATTTTATTTGATATGTTGACCTTTAGATGTATGAATTGGATTGTTCTCATTTGATACGTTTTGTTTTTATTTTGGGTTCTGTTTATGTCTGGTTTTGGTAACCTTAATGAATGGATTCGGCAGTCATCCCCTTTTTATGTCCTGAAACTACTCAACCCACAAGAATTACCTGATCCTTGACAATTTGACAGCACTTGCCTAAGAGAATGAGGACCTTTCATGGGGCTTAGAAATGGAAAGACTTTTGACAGCCTCTTCATCTATTTCTGTGGTTCTTATTCTGTGAGGATGTGTCACTTGAGTATGTCATAGAGTGTCTCTGATTCTCAGTTTCTTATTTGTTGAGGGATAATGATACTGAAGATTAAATGACTTATTGCTTATAACATTCTAGCATGATGCCGGGGCCATTCAAGCTTTCAATCAATGTTATTCATTATTGTCACATCAATATTGGTAATTTATATTGTCCTAAATCCTATCTCATTCACTATGCTTAGATTATTAGGGATTATCAGACACAGAGATATAAAGTTGTAAATAATATTAGCTTTTCCCTTAAGACACGTATCTCTTCTCTATTTATAAATGTCTCCTCTCTCATCACTAATTTTGAATTCTAATTTTATATTTTCCCTTGATTAGACATTCTACAGATTTGTAATTCAGTTTTATTTACAAAAATACTTTCTTAGCTCTCCTAGCATGTAAACAGATTTTCCCTGTTAATTCCTTTCTTCTGCTTTCATTTGGTGTGTTTTGTTGGTCTTCTACTTGTTTCTGAAGTGAAATACTCACCAGTATTTCAGTCATTTAAAATCTTTCTAATTTACTTAAAAGATACACTTAAGTTACAAATGTTCTCCTCTGACCTGCTTTTGTAGCATTCCGCAGGTAATGATATATGTTGTCTTATTGACATTCTATTCTACCTAGCCTGTAATTTTAGTTTTGATTTTCTCTTTGAGCCAAGATATTTTAGAAGCATTTGACATTTTTAAAGTATAACATTTTATACTTTTCTGATTATATTTTGATGCTGATTTCCATCTTTATTTTCTAGTACAGTATGAATTTTCTAAATTAAAAAGTATTTTGATATTTTCTTACTGGACCATTGTATAGTCAATTCATTAATTTCTTGGGCAGTTTAAAATAGGGCAGTTAAAAATTCGCTATAAAGAATGTTATGATATCTATCAGGTCAATGTTTTATTCTTATTTGTCTCTTATAATATTACTTATTTCTTTGTCCACTGATATTTCTTGAACTGAGCGCAATAAATTGAAGTCAATTACTAAATTGTGTCTGCCTTTCCACTTGGGTCTCCACTGAATTTCTGCTGAATGAAAGTTGCTGCTTTATTTTGAGGATGAATATCAAAAACACAAAAATCTTTATCTCCACTTAAACTGTAATTTTTAGCATTTTGCAGTACCCTTCTTTGTTTTTTTTTAATAAGTGTTGTCCAAAATCCCACCTCACATGATTTTAAGTCCTTGAGTTCTTTCTTTTTGTGAGTTTGCCTGATATTTTTGTCTCTTCTTTGTTTTCAAACTTCCGGATTGTTTCCAAGCCTGTGTGTAAGTGGCAAGCTGTGGGGAGGCTATGTGACAAGGTATATGCAGGGAACAAAGAGCTCAGAAAGACTAGTTTTTTATTTTCATAGCATTTTAAAACCCTAATTAAGAAATAATTAATCTTCCACTGGTTTATGTGGTCATAGTGAGCATTGTAATTGGATATTGAATATGTCAAATGTGTAGCTCTATAGAGAAATTGTGGGAATGGAATCTCTGATTCTAGCCAAGAACTTCCCAGGGGCTTGAGTAAAATATGTTTCCAACCTGAAAATCTAGTGCAAGTGGAAGATTCAACCTTTTAATGTTGATGTTTTCTAGGTTCCATGTTTGGTTGCCCTTTTTTCTGAGATGGTATTCAAAGGAATGTTCCATACACTCATATATTTGAACCTTCCAAAATACTTTCAAATATCTTGCATATTTGGAATACTGATAACTTCCAAATATCTTACATAGACCTTTTTAGAATACCATATGATTATAGCCACTGCCTATAAGACATTTCCAACTTAGTATCTCATAGACACTCTGGACTCATCAAGTTCCTCCTATTATTGCTTTTCCTTTTGAATAGCAGCACAACCTATTCTGTTAGACTGAAAACTATGTGATTACTGTAAATGACTCTCTTTGTCCCCTCATGCATTTTTTTCCTCAAGTGAATATGATGTCACTGCTCTTTAGATTCAAATAGTGATCCTTCCCTAACTAGCCACGGCAATTAGTATGATATTCTAAGCAGAACCTGCTATTGTGAAAACATGATTTCATGGAATTGAGAGTTTTTGCTATTCAGTTAAACTCTTTTTAACTATTTGCTATTCAGTCAAATATGCCAAATGTAAAATTCTATTTTTAATTTGATATTTGTTTTGTCTCTAGAGAAGCTTTTATTCTCAACAGAGAGAATCAAACCTGATGTTTTGATGCACACATTAAAAAATCTGAATCAAGTTTGACATAAAGAGACAGTTAAATTTGCCAAAAAAAAAACTTATGAGAAATAATCACAAATGATGGAATATATTATGCCAAATTTATTCTTTTTTGCATGAAGGGAATTGTGAACATTGACCTGATTAGTTTGGACCATCAAGAGCAGAGTTGAACCGTAATCTCCACAGCACCTCCAAATCCTGAAACAAGCTTTTCATCCCCACATTAATGCTGTTTTCTGTTCCTTCTGTCCCCCAACTGATGGGGCCCCTTAAAATGTAGGATAAGTTTGAGCTTTGGTTCTTGACAAGGGACCCAGTTATGGAGGATCTGGAAGTCTTTTTTTCCCCCCGGGCCTTATACCCCATGCATATAATGCAGAGTCCACATCAATTGTCCGTTCACTCTTAAATTGAGAGAAGACAAGTTGGAATAAGGAGTTTAAAGTTTGTTTGTATTTGGGACTTAGATAGGCTCTGTGAAAATGCAGTGCTGGTTTAGGAAGGCATAAAGTGGCTGGTTTCAGAAGTCCTTGATAGCAGACATTGAGAGCTTGGTTTTTACATAATGTTGCAAATTATGAATATAGATTGAAGCCAGAAGGTACCCATGTACCCTTAGAACTCACAGTGACTGATGCAAATTAACTTTTTGACTTTTTTTTTTTTTTACAGAGTCTCGCTCTGTCAGCCAGGCTAGAGTACAGTGGCGCCATCTTGGCTTACTGCAACCTCTACCTCCCAGGTTCAAGAGAGTCTCCTGCCTCAGCCTCCCAAGTAGCAGGGATTACAGACACCCGTCAACACACCTGGCTAATTTTTGTATTCTTTAGTGGAGACAGGGTTTCGCCATGTTGGCCAGGCTTGTCTCGAACCCCTAACCTCAAGTGATACGCCCGCCTCGGCCTCCTACAGCGCTGAGATTACAGGTGTGAGCCGCCACACCTGGCCAATTTTTTAAACTTTATATTAAGCTTCTAAAATAGATTATTAAAGCCATTAATAATTCCTCTCCTCCTTTGGTAGGAAGTTACAATTCGAGGACTCAATTTTTCTCTAATGAGAGAATAGAAAAATTGAATGTCATTTAGTTTTGAGTACCATTCATCTTTCTGCTCCTTTCCAAATAACACTATTGTTTGTTCCACTATATATTCTATTTATGCTGTCTATAACATATCTTCCTTGTTACTAATGTACTTGTATGTGCATTTAACACAACTTCTGAATTCTGCCTCTGTATCACAAGCTACTTACTAATTTATCTATAGTTAACACATCTTGTGAATTTTGCCTTATCTTGTAAGTTATTAGTTTATGTACTATCTGTATTGGTTTTATCCATCCAATTTGTTTTCTTATTTCCTATATCTGAATATAATAAAATCATACAGCAAACTCATATTTCAGGAGCTACTGAACTTAGAAGTCTTTGTTTTTGGAACGGGAGCCCTAGAAAGTCAGTATTCTGAATAGAAATGACTCTGAGGTTCTACAGATAAAGATAAAACTATCTTTCTCAGGTGTAGAGTGTCTTCAAACATAACTTATTAGGTGATAATTCCATTTCTATTAACTTGTCTGGCTGGAGGCAAAGAAATACAGAGGAAATTGGAAAAAGAGAAAGGAATAAAGACCTGGAAAAAGGGAAGAACCTTGAGTTATCTTTGCCTTAGTTCCTCTGAAGTTATAATCTAAAAATTGGTATAAGCTCTACATACACTCTAGGTGGCACTCTGAGGTTATAAAATGGTTCATATGGTGAGTTGAGGCCACTGTGTTTTGTTTTATTTTATTTTATTTTATTTTATTTTATTTTATTTTATTTTATTTAGACAGAGTTTCACTCTGTCACCCAGTACATGGTGCAATCTCTGCTCACTGGCGTCTCGACCTCCTGAGCTCAAGTAATCCTCCCACGTCAGCCTCCTTAGTAGCTGGGACCATAGGTGTGTGTCACCACACCTGGCTAATTTTATTTTTTGTAGGGATGGGGTCTTACTATGTTGTCCAGTCTCAAACTCCTGCCTCAGCCTCCCAAAGTGTTGGGATAACAGGCATGAGCCACCACTCCTGACCCCACTGTATTTTAAAGGCCAAAAGGAGTCTGAAAGAATTAAAACTAGTTTGCTCTTCCCTTTACAAGGAATCAAGAAAAGGTAGACAGTCAATATGGTTTTATAAAGAAAATTTTAGAGGGACATGGAATCCCTATCCAGGAACTTCACAGAGATCCAAAGAAGAGAAAGTTTGTAACCTAACACTTGAAAGAGCAAGAGAAAACTTGCAATCAGAGCAATGCCAGCTGGTGGTCAGGAGGGGAAGGGGTAAAGAAAGAAGAGAAAATGAGAACTTTTTATTTTATTCCAAATCACAAAGTATTTGAAAATACATATTAAAGAAAGATTATTTTGGCACTTGGTAAAGTGCTAGTAAAGACTTTATTTAAGACTATTGCAATTAGGGAGAGAGACTGAACTCAACTCTGAATACAGTCAGAACAAGTGGAGATTTACAGCCAACAGGTAGAGTGAAGGCATGGTAGATGATGGAAAATTACTAAACACAGATATCAAAGGGAGGAAGATTCTTGCTAAACTGGCCTAACAGGATTCTTGCTAATGGTAGGCTAAGGACTTAGAAATTAAGGGTAGAGGATTAATAATCTGTGCAGATACCAGACTTGGGGAGATTCTCAATAAACTGATAGGAGTCTTGCTGAAGGCAGTCAAAAGCCAAGGCCTACTTGAGAAGGCTAAAAGAAAAGACTGTTTTTCTATACTCTCACAATACTTACGACACCATATGTGTGGGTTTTCCACTCCAAGCAATTCTCCAACTCTGCAGTCACAAACTGGGTGTTGACACTGCAACTCAATTCTGATACTAACTACCTATAATTAGTGCAGACCCTACAGGTGAAGGGCTCAGTTCCACAAGACTGCCCCCTACTTCACATGTCAATCATAAGTCCCAGGTTGTCATTCATATTTCTAACCAACTGTTGTAAATTGAGGGTTCCTACAACTTCCTCCTGAAGTTTGATAATTTGTTATAACAACTCACAAGACTCAGGGAAACATTTACGTACGTTCATTGGTTTATAAAGGATATGACAAAGGATATAGATGAAGAGATACACTTGGCAAGGTATGGGGAGGAATATAGAGCTTTTGTGTCTTCTTCGGGGGCACCACACTCCCAATAACTCCATGTGTTCACCAACCCAGAAGCTCTATGAGTTCTGTTGTTTAGGAGTTTTATGGAGATTTCATTACACAAACATGATTGATTAAATCATTGGCTTTTGATGACTGGGTCAATAATCAGTTCCTCTGCCTTCCTCAGAAGTGGGCTGGGGTGTTGAAAGTTCCAAATCTTTAATCGCCATGGATGGTTTCTCTGGCAACCAGACCTCACTCTGAAGCTATCTGGGGACTTTCAGCCACCAGTCATCTCATTAACATACACAAAGACAGTTATTATTTAGGAGATTCCAAGGGTCTTAAAAGCTCTTGTGTTGGGAACCAGGGATTAAGACCAAATGTAACAAAAGAACCTCTTATCATCCCTATCACTCAGGAAGTTATAAGGATTTTAGAAGCTCTGTGCCGGGAGTTGGGAGGAAAGACCAAATATATATTTCTCATGATGTCACGAAGGCTCAGAGAACCCTGATTAAAGTTAGGTCAAGGAGGGAGTCTTTGTCAGATAACACATCTTGAATTTGGACCTAGATGAAGATGATGTGGATCAGAGACTGAGGAAACTAATAAACCAACGGCATGGCTGAATTGTCCATGTTAACCCTGGGGACACCTAAGGGCTGAGTGGGAGGCAGTGTGGCTTGACTGTGCAGAGGAGTCAGTAGCCACATGAAGTACAAGAGTTCTCCTTACTCATCCTATGTCAAAATGACAATATTTTCTGCAAATTCTCCATTCCTTAGAGCAACGGTCCTCAAACTTTAGCATGTATTAGGATCAACTGGAAGCCTTTTGAAAACAGACTTCTGGGCCCACCCTAGGGCTTCTGGGTCAGTGAGCCCAGGAGAGATCTGAAAACTGCATTTCTAAGTTCTCAAGTGATGCTACTGCTACTGGCCAGAGGATTATGCTTTGAGAACCAATTTCCTAGAGATAGAAGTCAAGAAAGGGAAAATGATGATTGATTGAAGGATTGCCAATGTCCTTTTCTCAGGGCCTCTACTCGAGATTTCCCTCAATAGTGACTCATTTGTGGAGGGTGATAGGTGGTCTCCACAGCCTTACCCAGATGGGCTTTACTGGGCTAGTGCCTGCATCTCCACTTGCTCTGAGTTTTGGCTGCTAATGGCTCAGAGCTGCCCCTTCAGAGTATTACTCTCAGTGGCCACCTTCTCCAGAGAATTTTCTTCAGCCAAAGGGAGCCACCTCACCTGGGAGTGTATGCCTCTAGAGTTCAAGGGTGGGCCCATAAGCCAATGACTGACTCACATGGGCTACCTTGTAGGCTATATCTCATCCTTCAAGATGGGACTGATTATAGCGTGATTTTTTCTGAAGTTAAACTCCAGCAGAAATTGCATTTTAATTCTCTCTTTTCCTGGCCCTATCCTGCTTCACAGATTCCCTTTCTTCTGAGACTATTCTTTCAATAAGTTATATGTGCCTCAATTGTTGTCTCAGATTCTGTTTACAGAGAACAGAAGCCAAGTCAAGAGGTGTTTATAAGACCACAGAAGCAAGATTTTATGTGCTCTGGGATAGACTATGTCCTACTTCTCATATTTTGAGACTTCACCTCCCAGAATTGACACGGGCACTCTCCAAGGCTAAGAGCCACCTGTGTCCACACAGTCCACAGAAAAGATATTACATCCACAGATTAACTGCCACAGGGGAGACCACAGTGGTGTATTACCTCCTGCTATGGGCTGCTTTGCAAATCTGGGAATAGGGTGATTAGAGAGGGTCTGAGTCCTGGTTTTCTAGGACCTTAGAATCTTCCTGTCCTGCCTGATAACTCTTTCCAAAAGTTTTGAGATCAGCAGAGCCTTAATGATTCTAGATGCCTGGTAGGTTGTTTGTGGGGTAGTGGATTTATGGACCCAATTAGCTCTAGTGTACCTGATTTGCATAATAAGTTGTGGGAACTTCTGGTTAGAAGAAAAAAATTCCACAGCAATAATGGTGCCTGTGATGGTAATGATGATAATCACCTGATAGTAAACTTTTAACTACTATGACAGACTGGAGCTCCTGAGGCACTGCTGGGAAGTCCACCTACTTCCAGAAGGTTCTAAGTGTAACTTTCCTTGGGGACTAAGTTCTGCTATAGGGATTGGTTGAGGAGGAGAGAAGTGGAAAACTTTATGTCTTGATCCTCTCTTTATAAAGACATTTTACATGATTATTATATTTTACATTATTATTATTGCCATCATCATCATCATCATTTGTGACACTTTGATCTGGACTGCTACCCCCAAACCTACCCCTCACCTATGCCCACCTCCCACTGCAAGGACATTTCTGTTTCTCATTTCTGTGGTCTTGGCTCTCTCCAAAATAAACAATGTTTATTTTCCCTTCAGGGACAGCCACTGGAAGGCATTAGGAGTATGGAACCTGGATTTTCAGAGCAGTGGCAGGATGAAGACTTTCCTGGATACTCAGGCACAATGCATTCAGGCTGAAGGCTGCAGTCCTCTTTCTTCATTACTATAGGAATGTTGGTCACCTGAAGCAACCGCAGGTTCCTGGGTTAGGCTGAACTGGTAACTGGAGAGAATTTTATATTGTGTCAGCTCATCCTCCTCCACCTACTTTCTGGACCTTGGTTATCCAGATCTTACTAGGTCTGGAACCCTTCTGAAGACTATTACAGTCCCAGAGGTACTCAACCTCTTCAGAGATTTAAAAGAAGCTAAAAAATGAAACGTGTTTCTTAACACCACTGGTAGCTGGTTCTGTAATCTCCTCACTGCCCTCACAACCGCCATAGTGGTTAGTAAAAGATTTATGGAAATCTCAAATCCTATGGTTTACAGCCAAGGAAAGCCAGATTTTTTTAAATTCATTTTTTCTTACTAGATGTTAAGTTTAAGAAAAGAAAACATCCAAATATTTTGATAATATTTCCCATTTTTCATGTATTAAATATCCACCACTTATGAATTTTAAGGTCTTAAGAATCATTTTCCTAATAGTATTTAGTTTAGTCAATTTTCATGTTACTGAATAAAGATTAAGTCATGGATCACATTTCTTTTTCTTTCTTCCTTTTTTTTTTTGAGATGGAGTTTCGCTCTTGATACCCAAGCTGCAGAGCAATGGTGCGATCTTGGCTAACTGCAACCTCCACCTCTAGGGAACAAACGATTCTCCTATCTCGGCCTCCCAAGTAGCTCGGATTACAGGCATGCGCCACCACACCTGGCTAATTTTTTTGTATTTAGTAGAGACGGGGTTTCACCATGTTAATCAGGCTGGTCGTGAACTCCTGACCTCAGGTGATCCACCTTCCTTGGCCTCCCAAAGTGCTGGGATTACAGGTGTGCACCACTGTGCCCGGCCTACATTTCTGTTAGGTACACAGCAGGATTATGATCCCTACAATGTTTGAAATTACTCACTGATAATTTAAATTTCCTGCATTTTTTATGCAAAAAATATTTTTAAGTGCTACTACCTATGTTCCAAGTAATTTATGAAAAGGAAAAGAAAAAAAGTGATTTTATTTTACTTCCTTATCTAATTTCTTTCCTTAATATCTGGTTTTCTGAAATCTACTTCCATTATAAAACACTGTATTTTAATTATAAAACGGCACAGGGCACATAGGGCTTCCTAGCAGGTCCTTTGCACCTCTGATTAGAAGTGGGTTTTGTTCCATTTTGTTTTGTTATGCTTTTTTACTTTTATGTGCTTTCAGATTTTAACACTGAGCATGAATTAATTTTATAAACAGAAATGTATGCATATTTGTTGTAGAGAGAGAGAAGATTCTTTGAGAGGCAAGGATTCCTGTCATGTAGGGGCCTGGTCAAGAGACCTGAACGGGAGGGTACAGAGGGACCTGATCTGTGCTCACGGTCACAGCAGCTCTGAGCAACCAGTTCCAACCGGTTCTTTTATATGTGCCGAGGAAAGTTCTAGAGCATTTTTGAGAAAAACAAAATACTGAAGAACAAGGCAAGGGAATCAAGAAAGCAGGGACAAAGTGACAGAGAAAGAAGAAGTATGACTCTGGACATAATATGGGACTGGGAAAACACCACACAGAGCCAGGTTGCTGCAGAATTTTTTAATTTGAGACAGTGATCAGAATAAGTTTAAGGCTGAAGAGCCTCAGGGTGAGGAGAAAGCCCATCATTCAGAATACAGGAACATCCAGCCCAGGTGCCATGACCTGAATGCACTAAGGGACAGGCACCAAGGAAGGCTCTGGCAGGGTCCGACCCCGAGAGGTTTTGGGACCCACCGTCATGGAGATGCCCCTCCCTTCATGTGAGGTGGGGTTTCTGCTCTCACTCTGCCTTTAGAGGTCCTACATGAGAACTACTGGGTGGCAGGGGAATAAAGGAGAATTAAGGAGAGAAGAGTTTACCAATGCATGCCTATCTTAGAGGAGAGAGGCTATGAAGGAGGCCTAGAGTCTTGCGGCCAGCTCCTGCTTTCTTTAAACTTTCAGGAAGGGGAAAGGATAGATCACAACTTCTGGGGATTGCTTTTTTAGAGACACAAGATAGTATGATTCATCTACCCTAAAACATGATTTTCCTTTGGAATAGACATTTCAGGATCAGAGAGTTGGGGAGATAGGTGTTCTTTTCCTTAATCTTCAAACACACACACATGCGCACACACACACACCGTACATACAAACACCTACGCATATACCAACAAATACAATTCTACATATCCATACACACACACACACACACAGCTACACACACATGCTAAGCAGCTGCTTGGGTAGTACAAGATGGTTTGGTCATCAGGAGGCTGGGTAGGCAGGAGTGTGGAGCAAAGATGGAGGAAGATGGACACTTTGTTAGACATTCCTGCAGGTGGGAAACAGGGTAGTTACTTCTGCCAGTCGCTAACCCTTCCTAGTGGGCATTGAACTGCTTTAGGTACTCCAGGATGTCTGATTTGACTGTGCTGACTGGAGCCCGGTGGAACCAGCGCATGACAGGGACTCCATCGGGCCCCACTAGAAATTTCTCAAAGTTCCAGCGGATGTCATGGACTTTCATGGGCTCCCAGAAGAGCTGGCTTGATGAGCCCAAAAGATCAGAGGTTGGAGGGCAGGAGTTCTGGAGCAGAGACATGGAAAGTGGAAACATACATTTATTTCTACTTTATTTCTACTTCTGTGTGGTACAGTCTTATCTCCAGACTACAGAGTCTACTCACCATTATGTATTTTAATGTATTAACTACTTTGCATGCTTCCAATCAATCACAGACACTGCAATGTATCAATACCAATACACCAACTACTAAACAACCGAGAGCTAGAGAGTATAATGGTAAATAGAAAGCATTCCTCCTTCCCCTGTCTTTCCTCTATTCCCATTATTTTATCACGGCAATTCAGTAAAAGACTATTTTCTGTTTCCTTGGGCGAGTCATATCATTTCTACAGTTTGTTTCCTTAGCAGAAAAAAAAGATAGGTTGATTTAGAGTAGTGGCTCCCAGAATTTGGGGTTTCCTAGGATTCATAAGCCAGTAAAATTTCAATAACTATTTCCCTGGAGATTAACGTACAATCACTAATATTCATTTTGCCAATAAGAAAAATTAAAAGTCTACTATAAGCATAAATCTAAAAATTAAAGTATTTTTAATACCATGTTGAACCACATAAAATTGGTTATAGTGCCATTTTTGAGTAAGTAAAGGGCAATTTATATGGGTAAACATAATAGTAATTTAATGTCAGAATAAACGTCAGTCTTATATTCAATAAGTTGAGCTGTATGAAAAATTCTGCATTGTCTTCTTTCCCTTGTTTGCTGTGGATGAGTGAAAATTTCAGCAGGACCAGCCTTGTTCTGCAGACCAGTATTTGAGGCTGAGTAGACAAAGAGATCCTCGGGGGTCCTTCTATCCTGGTATTCTGTAGTTCTAACACTCTGTGACTCTAAAGGCATTTAGCACATGGTATTCTGTATCATCCATGTCTGTCTCCTGATTAAATGTGAGTTCCTTCAGGGAAGAGACTATGCCCTATTAATGTTTCTTAACTCATTATATGACACATACTGAGATCTGATAAATGATTGCTGAATGAATGAATCATTACCATTCAATACAGGAGGCTAGTCCACGTCAGAGCTGTTGTCCATCATGGGCTTCCTCTACTTAAAGCTAAAGCCTCACAGCAGATATTGCCATGAGCCTTGAACTTACCTGAGCATCTCTTTTCCAAGGGGTCCAACCACAACCCTAGACATGAGCCCCACTGCTTTCAGAGCATTTCTAGCTAACCAATCCATGCCAGGTTTATAGTCACTCACCTTCAGGAAAGTAAAGACCTTCTGTTCTTTTTCTCCATTCACATCCCCTTTCTCAAAGAGCTGGAAATTAGGGACAAAGCCACTACCTGGACGCACATACCTGCAGTGAATCAAAGTGTTCCCAGCAAGATCCAAATTAAGACATGGATGGAAAATAATGACCACCACCAATTCACAGGAAACTAAAGATAAAGGGAAGAGGCTGTGCATAGGGAAGATAAGAAAAGATAGTCTGTGGGAAGCAGGACTTCATGCAATAGGCTTTATGGAGCCAATAGAGAATTCTAAGAAAATTGGAAGGCAATATCTTGAGCTTAGGTTTCCTGCTTCACTTCCATTTCTTATACCCCCTTCTTTCCTCTATGCTTCTTTTCCATTCAATCTTCCCTTAGCCTCATCATTGAATAATTCAAAAGTATAGAGAATATTTGAGCCCTGCGAATAGAATAGATTGAATTCAAAACATCATAAGGATATGCTTCAACCCATGTATCTATGTCCTATCCCAGAAGTTTCCAGAATAGGCAGGCATCTAGGTGGAATGAGGAATGGAAATCCTGACAGGGCACCTGCAGAGTCCCATGCAAGCACTCACTTGAGTCCAAGAAGTATTTCTGAGTTTGTTCCTGGTTCTTGTTTTCCAAACTGGTTGCAGGGAAAGGCCAACACAACGACACCAAAATTCTTCAGCTCCTCCTGTAGTGCATTCAGTTCTGTAAGTGGAGAATGAATAGCATTGGTGGCTTGGTCAGGAGGCCTACCTCAAGCAGTGAAAGATCACTGAATGTATCCATGTATGCCATGAATAAACCAAGGACTATGAAGGGAAAGATTCAAGATTACAGAGATCAAAGGAGTAGAGAAAAAAAAAAAGACTAGAGCACATGTTTCCAGAAATGCATCTAAATGGCTGCTGTTTTTCTTGTACAGTAAGCCATCCCTGGCTATACTTTACCATCCAATGAGAACTCTTATTTAAAAAAAACACACACACACAAACACACACACACATTGGTAGCCTTGTGTGGGAGTCCTGTTTGATTCTAAAGAGAAGTCAGATTTGAGTGCCACTGTCTTCCTTAGTTGGTGAACTGATCAAAAAAATTTGTAAGGAAAAAGTAAACAAAATGGAAATACTACCCACCTATCCCCGCATCCCCCCGGCCCCACTCATACAATGTCCCATGGTGACACAACCAGACACTCCAGTGCCAGTTACATTCCCAGGAGTACTCCTTGGTGCTCCACCCTGAGAGTGGTAGAGAAAGGGAAATTCCAAGGCTATCTCTACAGTATTCTGTACCCTCTCCTCAATTCCAGTGACCTAACTGATGCTGGAATATGCCCTAGAACACTCCCTGGGACTCCAGGCCACAAACTCCAAACTGCTCTTTACCACTGTCAGGAACCTTCCAACTTGTGTGTTTAGACTTGAACAATAATTTCCATATTCAGCTATTTTCAGGTCAGATTTATTCAGACCTCAGAACCTCTATTGGCTGTTCTCATTCAGATTCAGCTCTGCCTGCTGGAATGTCCCCTAAGAACCTCTTCTTAAATAGAGAGTGTCTTCCTATTTTTCTACAGTTCTTTGGTTACTATCAATACTCATCTCTCTCTTATCTTTGGCCATCAAGAGTATTTCCTTTCTATAGCAGACACACTTAACAGACCCTGATTCTATTCCTTTGGTAAGTTTCTTTAATTCTCTCAATTTCCTCATCTGGAGTAAAATT